TTTTATGACAGCCCTAGCAAACTAATACAAATGCTTATTCTCATCATTAAACAAAGAAATGGAAATTAAAATCACCATGAGATTCTATTTTACACCTATGACAAAAGTAAAGGTAGACAGGAGTGAATGATGGTGAGAATATGGATTAACAAAAACTCATACACTACCCTAAGGGGTAGAAATTTGTACATCCAACTTAAAAACATTTGATGTTATCTAGTCAGTTTAAAGATGTACTTGACTTCTGACTCAGCAGTTCCACTCCTAAGAATATATCTTAGAGAAATTCTTGCACATGTGTATCAGGAAACTTTTGGGAAAATATTTATAGCAGCTTTCTTTATAAAAGTTGAGAAAGCTAGAAACAAGTAACTGTCCACTGGCAGTAGGATGAATAATGGATTACAATGTAGCAGTAAAATTAAAGATCTTTAGGCACATGCATTAATATGGATGAGACTTACAAATATAATGTTGAGCAAAAAAGCGAGCTGCTAAAGAATATACACACTGAGATACCATTTATACAGAGTTTAAAAATATCCAAGAAAACAGTATAGTTTTGAGATACATCATATGTAGTAACACTATTTAAAGGAAAAAAAAGTGAGAATGATAAATTTCAGTAGGGCGGTTACCTCTAGAGCATGTATTACCGGAGGGGATGGGGTGGTTTGCAAAAAATTCTTAGATATCACAATGTGCACAGTACATAGACATATATACAGTATATTTGTGGTATTAAAATTTAATCAAATCAAGTGCATAGGGAAAAAGTGTCTAAAACAGCTCCCTAGGGCAAGGAGTGGGGGTGATAACATTTTTTTAAAAAGTTGAGTAACACTGCTTTAGAAGGATAGAAGTTGAGAGAATACAATAAGGAGAGGATATATAGTTTTTCAACAATATCGGTAATGTTTTATTTAGTCTCAGCGGTGGATACCTAGGTGTTCTTAAACAACTTTATTGAATGATACTTAGGCAAAGTCACTGTGCTAGGTGCTGAAGAAAACAGTGATAAGATTTTAAGGCCTAATCTCTGTTGTCACAAGGAATGACAGAGGGTATCAGAAAGGAACTGAAGGGAAAGATTACAAGAAGGATGAGGAAACTTGAGAGTGAGAAATAATGTTCATTATCTTAATTGTGGTGATGTCATTACAGGTGTATAGATATGTTAAAACTTATCAAATTATATACTTTAGAAATGTTTATAAAAATACAGTTCATGCATGTCAATTATACCTCAGTAACATCTTTAAAGACAGAGAGATTGAACATATATCCTAGAGAAAATGAAAAATTTATTTTCACACAAACTTGCACACAGATGTTCATATAGTAGCTTTATTCATAATAGCTCAAAACCGGAAACTGCTTAAATGACCTTGAATGAGTGAAGGATCAAACAAAATGTGCAATGTCTATACTATGGAATACTACTCACCAATAAAAAGGAACAAACTGTTGATATATGTAACAACTTGGATGGACTTCAAGGAAATTATACTGAGTGAAAAAAGATAATCTCAAAAGATATATGCTACATGATTCCATTATATAACATTTGTGAAATAACATTCGTAGAGATAGAGAACAGATGGGTGGTTGTCAAGAATTAGGAATGGGGAGAGTAGATATTGCTATTATGGAGCAGCACAAGGAAGTCTTACAGTGATGATGGTTCAGTTAAGTATCTTGATTGTGATGGTGGTTACAGGAAGGTATTGTGCCTGTGATAAAATTGTGTAAACATCTATGCATACACACCCCCAGATGAGTGCATATATAACTGGTGAAATCTAAATAAGCTGCCTGCTTTTGTGCCGGTGTCAATTTCCTGATTTTGATATTTACTATAGTTATGCAAGATGCTGACACTGGGAGGTCCACGGGACCTCTCTGCAACTTCCTTTAGAAATAAATTGAGAGAACGATGACAAACCCAGTACCTCTAGTGTCCAGATTTTGTTTTCTGAATACTTTCTCCTACTCAAAAAACAAAACGCAATAAACAAGCAGACAGAAAAGACTTTTGGGGAAAATAAGACTGATTCTATTTTGGGGACATGAAATATGTTATAAACCTTAAATAATCTGTCATAATAGAAAGCAAGGAAACTATCAAAACTATCAAAACCACTAGGTAATGTCAAGAGGACTCAGGATGTGATCTTGCTAGCCAAAGTTGGGATGATTTTAGCATCAATTATGATAAATGCAAAGAATTAAAACACATTGGATATTTTTAAATTCATAACTTCATAATTATAATTTATTAAAGATATAACTGGTCATTTTGGGGAAGGTTGCTAGGGAAAAAACTCAATTTGAAAACTAGATAATAAAGGGAAAGAATTAAGCATTTATCCTGTCTTATACAAACTGTAGTTCAAGGTAACTAAATAATTGACTTGGATAGTTTCTCTTATGGAAATATTTCAACTAATAAGTAACAAAAGAATGATAGAATTCCTTGATAAAATGATAGCAAAATCTCTAGTTTGTGCAACCCCTAATGGATTTAGGCATTTAGGATTTAAGCCCGTTCTACTATTTTCCTTAGGGTTGCTTTGCAAATTACCATAAATTTGGGGGCTTAAAACAACATAAATTTATTTTCTTCAAATTCTGGAGGCTAAAATTTAGAAATCAGAGGTAAGCAGGCCTGCACTCCCTCCAAAGGCTTTAGGGAGAGAATCAGTTTCTTTCCTCTTTCAACTTCTTGTGTCTCAAGGCATTCCTTGGCTTGTGGTCACATCACTGTGTTTCCTTCTGTATAGCTTTTAGAAGGACACTTATCATTAGATTTAGGATGCATTCAGGGAGTCCAGAATGATCTCGTTAGCTCAAAATATTGAACTTAGTTACATCTGCAAAGAGCCTTTTTCCAAAGGAGGTAACATTCACAGGTTGCAGGGATTAGGACACAGATATATCTTTCGGAGGCTGTCTTTCAGCCCACTACACCTGTTAATATCAGGAAAAGAGGCAAACCTCATGAAAGTAAACACACCAAAACAAAACAAAAATCTAAATGCAGTCAAGCTTCACTTTATAGGACATATGGAAACAGAACACTACAAGGATGCAGTCAACAAAATTCAGACTGTGAGAAACTACAGAACAAAAACCCAGTTTCTTCAACAAATAAATTGCAAAGGGAGAAAAAAGAGATGGAGGAAGAAACCTGCATAAGAACCTAAGCAACATCATCCAGTTGCATTGAGAGACCTGATTTTGACCCTGATTTGAAAAACTCTAAAAAATATGAAACAATCATGGAAATTTGAACATATTGTTTGTTTTATAAGTATTTATTGTAAATTTTAATATGGATATGTTTTTTAAAGTGTCCTTGTCATTTAGATATCACACTTAAATATTTATGGTTGGAATGATATGTCTGTGATTTCTTTCATATAATTGGGAGTGGAAGAGGTAGGTAAGTTTATAGATTAAACAAGATTGGCCATGAGGGGATATTTTTGGAAGTTGTTTAATGGGTATATAGGGATACACTATACTGTTGTTGTTACTTTTATATATGTGTTTGAAATTTTTCATAACAAAAAGTTAAAATTTTTAAAAGTTTAAACTTTGCCCTCCAAAAAAAGTGTGTAAAAAAAAAGTTTGTAGTGCTTGAGAGGATAGGTATGGCAACTTAGAAGGATGATTCTCTTAGTTTTTTCTGCATGATAATTAGTGAGGCTCTCAGGACTCTGTCAAGAGCTTTCACAGGTAATCTAGCTTAAACTGGAATCCAGGAAACGAACAAAACATATTCCCTTCGACATTATGTTTATTCGGCCAGCCTTCCCTAACCAAATTCTCCCAACCACTCCTCACCCCATCCCACTCCTTCTGTCTGGATTGAATATCACCTTCGTTTATGCCTGCCTAGTACCCTCTACATACTTCCATAGTGTATTTTAATTGGGTAATCCTTGTAGATGCTAACTTTGATGATCTATCTTTATTCATTTATATATTCCTTCTCAGCTCTACATTTAACATTGGGCCTGATAAGCTCTCAATAAATGGTTGTTGAATGAAGGGCAGGAGAGGAATAGAGAAAGAACTGGGATTGTACTGGTAAATAAAATGCAAAATACACCTCCTCCTTTATCCATCACCTCAATAAACCCTTTTCCCAGGACTACTAAGGTATAGCTACAGAGCTACTTTAAACTGTTTTTGTCTTTTGTTTATCCGCTGGCAGAGGTACTAATGAGCTGTAATATACTGCAAATGAAAGATAAGTAAAGAGTAAGCAGTGTAGCAAAATGGGTTTCTGCATAATCAAATGTTGCTGATTTCCATTCTTTCCTGGGGTATATGATGCAATAAATTCTTTTCAGATGACTGTCTTTCTGTGCTATTTATTTTGCTACTTTCTGTGTATCAGGATTCACCTTCTATATAAATTGCTTTCTAGTTTGTCTTCTTGGTATACTTTATGATGGTAATTAGCATGTAACCTTCTAGAAAAGGTGGCAAGAAGTACTATAAAAATACTATTTTGTGGTACAGATGAGGTTATCTGGCAGTTTCCTAATGGATGGCAATCTCCATAAAACAGACTGTGAGAAGCCTACAAAACTTTAGACTGGGAGAAAACTAAGAGACTAATGTGCTTCTCTATTTGCGTGTATGCGTGCACACATACACACACACACACACACACACAAATAGCTTTTCGTATAATAGCTATCTTCTTGCCATCTTAAAATACAGTATATTGTCTAGTCCCAAAACCTGGGCTAGTTCCTAAACTAGTACTTTCCAAATTTAGATTCTTGAGAAAATAGTACACAAGTAACAACTGGTTTCTAAAGTGGGAAAAAAAAAAAGTGTAATTATCATTTTTTTTTTGACCATGTAGTGTTGGAATGATTTTTCATTTTGAAAAACAGCAGAATAAATCTTAAACCTTAAAATGTGATTACTAGGAATTTAAACCTGATTAAAGACTTAAAGATATTTTATTTTCTCTTTAGGTGGTACGGGACTATAATCTTCAGCTGTTTCTACAAGAGAATGCTGTATTTCACAAACCCCAGCCCTTCCAGTTCCAACCTTGTGACAGTGATACTGTAAGGGAATTCCACATTTTCATTTCATTTGTTTGTAAGCTATGTTTGTGCTCAAATAACTATTATCTTTGGAATAGATAGAAAAAGCTAAGTATGGCTTATTAAATTTATAACAAACTGTGAGGATACAGAGAAACTTACATTTCTTCTTCATAAAATATGATTGACACACTCAATATCTTTATGCGTATAACTTCCTACTAAATTGGGTTAAATTATAAGACATTACTGAAAATGTGAAAAGTGAACTTAGGGAAAAAGAAAAAAATTCAGTAAATTTTTTTTCAGTTTAAATATAAATTATACCTTCTATCCATGAAATTGTTCACATGTATATATACCTTTTCAAAGAAACCAGTGGTTAAGTTTTAATCAGAATACAATTAATAAATAGAATAATGAATATGTGCATGCAAATATTTTGATTGGTTTTATACAAAATTATAGGCCCTTTATAATTTCTTTCAGATTTCTTAGAATGATAAAGTATTAACACAGATGCCAAATTGGCACTTTCTACAAAGCAGACATTAATCATCCATTTTTACCCTTTAGTTTACTCTATGAAAAATGCCATTTTTGAATTTTAAAAAAGAACCGAAATACCAATTTGATAACAAAAAAAAAAAATTAACTTCTACAAGGTGAGAGGGCACATGTGTAGCATATATCTATGTGCTAGCATATCTAGCACATTTTCTCAATGTAGGCTAGCCAAAAGGATAATCAGATTATACTGGTAGGGTCTGTTGGTAAATGTAGAATCAAAATCAAGGGAGTTTATGATATCATAGTTTAATAGTATCAGTTTAATAGAAACCTTTGCTAGAGCTATCTTCATTACTTTTCTTACTAAATTTTAAGTAACCCTTTTTGTGGCTATAAAAAAAAAGCATTTTCTTCTAGATTATACCCTTGTCCTTTACAGTAGTGTTTTTTTTATTCAATCAGCTTTTGCTTACTGATTCAGTGACATTGTCCTATAATTGACTGATTTGAAACCTGGGAGGAATGAAGCAGAGCGTTAGAAAATAGAGTATGGACAAGTTTGCCAAGCTTGACTTAAAATTGCGACTAATTTGCTCATTTTCCTCAGAAAATCAGAATAACAGTGACTCTCATCTCACTTGTCCAAGCCTAACTGCAGCCCTAAATCCTTTGTTGTTTCTAGACACTGTGCTAAATGTTCTTAGCTGTGTGTCCCTGTTTGCCTTAAAATTTTAACTCTATGCTGTTTTCTGTCCTTGTGCAATCTTTATTGGGCAGAGTTTAAAAGCTGCCCAACTGGTGGATATTGAGCTCTCCCCTGTCAGTGCTCTGAGAATGACCATAGCTGAGGTATATGGGGTTGTGGGTCAAGGGTGGGAGGACTGGGATGTGTGGGTTTGCATGTCAATGAAGGGCGGGACCTGGTATTGGAATGAAAGATATATGTATAAGGGACCACTGAATGCATAAGATTGGGCTTTCCATTTTCCTTTATAAATTAGGGATTTCCCTTTCTATTTATAATGAAAAGATTGAACTTCTCATTTTTTATCTTGTCTGAAGCACTTTAGTTTTCCTTAACAGGAGTGCTGAAAAGAACCTTAGAGCTAACCTTGCCTTTATTAAAGGAAAACTGAAGCCTAGAACGGAAAACAGACTTGTCCATAGTGATATAGTGAGCAAATGGCACATTACTGTCCTGATGGCAGTATTAATGTTCTTTCTGCATGCTACTCTGTTTTCTGAAAGAAATGTTGAGCATTTGGGGAGCAATTAATTTTTTCATAATGGAAAAAGATAAATGCCCATACTTTTATAAAAATTATCCCAGATTGTTAACCATCGAAAAAGCTTTTAGAATAATCATTTTTTAAAAAATGTTTTTAACTGCAAGATATTTTTGCATGTACTTTTTGTTTTGTTGTAAGTTAGGTATTCTTACTGCCCACAAGAAATGAAATCCCAAATAATTAATTATTACAGTACTCAGTTTAGACTAGTACTGTTTTTGCATGTGAGAATGGAGCCATTGTTTACTTGCTTTTCTGGTTTCCTCTTGGAGTTGGTAGCACTAAGTCTGTCATGGAGTGGAGAGCACCTGTTGGTGCTCATTAGCCCACTCTTCCTGTCAGGTGAGTAGAGGACATGTAGGAAAGACTAATCACCACTGTCTTCTGTTGTATTTCTAAAATTGCTGTTCTTCCTGTTCTGTTTTGAAGCACATTTCAATGCAGCAGACACTGAGCATATGGACTATCACCATCTGTAGCCCAAACATATTTTAGACCTATTTACCTGTTCCCAAAATGTTGCTCAGTAATAAAAAATAAATTTTTCCATCAATTGCCTCCTTTTTCATCAACTCTACTCCCTACAGTTTCATTCTCTTTAAGATCTTTCAATAAGTTTTTAGTCTTGTTTATGATTTATTCTTTGGGCTATCAAGAACTTAAGAATTATTTGGGGGTTTTTTTTAACAGTAATGAGAAAATTTTTTGTTTCAAATAATTTTCAATTGGATCTTTAACATTAACAAACCATTTATTGGATACTTAATATATATACATACTATAAGAGGATGTTTAAAATATGGCTAAATTTTATCCTAATGACCTTTATGAGATAGGAGACATCTTCACCAATTTTCAGATGTAACTAAGATCAGATTAACATACCCAAGATCATAAAGCCAGTAAGTGGCATAGAAAGTATTAAAACTAGATCTGTCTGACTTAAAAACCTATACCTGGGCTCTTTAGAATACACCTAAATTACCCTTATATATCAGATTCTTCTGACTAATGTAGATTGCCTTTGCATCTTCATCCAGGGTTTAACATTTTAAACTCTGACTTCTGAGGACAGATATAAATTGAAATGCCTAGATCCTTTTGCAAAGCAAAATATAACACTGAAGTTAATTCCCAGATTCCTAGTCCCCCCCAAATTGAATCAGAGTATAACATATAATTGTAAAATTAATTAGCTTTTGATTTGTATTATTTTGTTCTGTTTCAATTCTTTTATCATTGTATAATCTAGGTTTAGCTGAAATGTCTGCATAGAGTAAAAGTGTTTCAGCCTTGCCTATCCCAACAAAAATATTAAAATTTTATCAAATTCTACTTTACCAATTTTGAGCAAAAGTCAGTTTTCTAAGACCATCCTAGTATAATAAAATTTTGCTTTTTTTGTGTTAAAATTCTCTGTGGGTAATTTATATTTAAGAAATTGTTTTCTTTCCTAATTGTTTTAATAAAGATATTTTTTTCTTAGTTTCTTGAGAGTTTAGAGAAAGTTCAGATAGTTTAGAGGTTAAGGGCTCTGAGTCTGGAATCAGACTTGTATAATCAAAGCTGTAACATTTAACATCTGGTAGACACTGGAAATTTTACTTAATCTCTCTGAGCCTCAGTTTCCTTTTCTATAAACTGTCTGTACGACCCATCTCAAAAGATTGTTATAAAAGTATGTGAAGTACTTTCCTTAGTACCTTGCACAGTAGGGCTTAACCATTACTATTGTTTATTTAGATTTTACAGTTTGTTCTTTGTGAAACATAATCATAGCATTTTAGGGCTAGAATAAACCCTTAGTGATCATTTGATCTAGCATCACTATCTTTCATGTGACATTAAAGCCCAAATGAAGGGTAAAAGCTAGTTCGAGTTTTGATGGTAAGTTGGTAATGGGCCTGAAACTAAAACCCAATATCTTGCAGGGCAGAGAGTTTGTATTGCTGTTATTGTATTGTTTATTTTTTGTTGTTGTTGTTGTTTTCACTCTATCCACTGTGTAATCCCATTGAAATTATTGAGTCATTTCCATTTTTACCTATGCAACTATTAGTGTCATAATAGGTTAGCATGAATACTTTTTCTTCTAGCTTAGCCTAGCTTAGCTTTCTTCACATCCCAGATGGATCAATCCACAGTATTAGAGATGAAGTTTTAATGTTCAGCAATGTAAGACCAAAAAACTCTGGTCATTTATGATTTCATACTCCCCTCTAGTTTTCTGCTAATATCCCACAGTAGTGGAGCATGTATCGTGTTTTGAGTGCTGATGAAGTGAAGGCTCTCAGATCCACCTACAAAATGGTAGTGATTTCTGTAAGGATAACAGTGCCTTCTCTCTGTTTTCTCTTGTGTTGTAGAGCCGACAATTAGAATCAGAAACTGGAACCACAGAGGAACACAGTCTAAACAAGGAGGCTCGGAAATGGGCCACACGCGTGGCACGTGAGCACAAAAACATTGTTCACCAACAACGAGTAAGTGTAAAAAAGAGTCTTAAGCTATATTTAGCTTAAGCCAAATGTCTAAACAATTTAAGGAGTTGAATTTCATTAATGTGAAAAATATCCTGTATATGTTTCTTCTGTAATTTCTCAGCACTCAGCAGTATGCTGTCAGCTATTTACTTAGGTTGGAAATTCCTGAAGCCCTCTAACAGCAACGCAGTAATTCATCTGTTTGCCATAGAAAGTGCCTAAAAAAGGCTAGTAATAGTGTATTATAGTCTCTTGGGCAAGACACACATAGATTGAATTTGGCTTTCCATCTCCAAGACAGATTTTTTGAAGACACAGTTAGATATTCCATGAAAATGTATCTTCACGAGTAAATTAAAAGTGCTGAGAAATTATTTTAGCTATAGTAAAAATTTTCTCAATTTCCATTTGTTTAGAACTTTATTCTTCTCTTTCTTTATCTCCATATCCAACTTCTTAAAAGAATTTTCCATATTTAATATCTATATTTCCTAACATCCAACTTACTTTTTAGCCCATTACATCTGGGCTTTTCCTCCTTCCCTTTCCCGTACACCACTTCACAGAGACTGCACGTGCCAAAATCACCAATGACGGGCACTCTGATCTCTCATCTTACTTAACCTATTGGCTGTTTCATCACAACTGATAACTCCTTTTATCTTGAAACATTCTCTTTTCTAGTCATACATGATATAACATTGTCCTGTTTTACCTTCTGCTGCTCTGGCCAATCCTAGAGTCTTTTTCTAGGTTTTTCTTTGCCCGTCTCACATTTAAATATTTAAATTCCTTAGATTTCTGTACTAGACTGTCTGCTTGTCTTATTCTTTATTCCCATTATCGGCAGTCTCACGCAATCCTATTCACCAACAGGTAATAAATTAATATTTCCAACATTGGGCCTTTGTTCTGTGTATCCATATATCTTCTTGCCTGCTTTGACATCTACTTTGCACTATCTCACAGGCATCTCAAATTCAGTGTTCCACTTATCTAAAGCTACATACCAAAACACTCAAACTTAATGCCAAAAAAAAAAGCATTTTTTTATATTGTCTCTTACTACTCTGGGGATTGGGTGGGCTCAGCGTGGCAGTTCTCACTTGAGGGTCTCTCATTGTAATCAGTGACCAGTGCTAGAATCATCTCATAGGCTTTCTCACTGAAATATCTGCTGTTTGGACCAAGAAGATTTGAACAGCTGGGAACTAGAATAGCTAGAGCTTCTTGTGCATCTATCTTTCTGTGGTCTCTACATATGACCTCTCCAGTATGGCAGCTTCAGCTTAGCCTTACTTCTTACCTAGTAGCATAAGGCCCCAAAGGTATGAGTCCCAAGAGTGAGCCACAAAGAAGCTATATCCTCTTTTTCTGACGTAGCGTCGGGAATAATATAATATTAGTTATGTCACATTTTTATCAATTGAGGCAGTCATAAAGGCCTATCCTGGTTCAAGGAGAGAGGACATAAACTCCACTTCTTGGTGGAGAAATAGCAAGGTTCCAGAAAAACATGTGGAATAGGAAATATTATAGTTGCTATTTTTAAAAAATCATAATCTGCCACAGTCAACCTTCTGCCATAACAGTTTGCACCTTTCTTGCATGCAAAATATAACTCTCCTCTTTACCGCAAGTCCTCCAAAGCCTGGCATCAGACTTCAGCTTGTAATCTAGAATCTCATCATCTAAATCAGATTTAAGGACAGATAAGCTTCTTGGGTTCAGTTCCTCTAATATAGTTTATCTCAGTTAAAGAATTTGTGACCTAGAGAGACAAGTTATCTGTATACCCACACATCCAATAAATGGTGATGAGATTAATTACTGAAGCTTTATATGTAGAAATATAAAGCACATAAAGAGATTTTTTTCCTACTAGAAAGCTTGACTATATTTGAAAGTAAATGTTTGAATATTAAAAATAAATCTGCTTCCTCTCTCTTTTATCAAGGCATGTTGTGTCTTTCTGGGAGGTGGAGACAATCAGCTTTCAATAACTTTTCAGTTCTTTATAGTATAATCTGTGATAGGCTTTAATCTAGTAAAGTATATTTTAAGCAATAAAATTAGGGTTTGTTTTTTTTTTAAACACTAAAATCAGTTCTACTTTTGGCCATGATGAAGTAACTGAGATCACACTTACCTTCCTGCATAAACAACTATAAAATTGTTCTAAATATATGAAACAAACATTTTCAGACATTGGACAGTAGTAAATAACAGGATTATGAAACCTGAAGGGGAAAATAAATTAAATTAGCCCTATAATTTCCCAGGCTTTCCACCTGAAGGCACTTTCCCTTTTACAGTACAGAGAGAGAGACTGAAGCAGAGCACCACAGTCTTGCTGAGGTGAGAAGATAGAGATCAGAGTTCAGAGAAGCTGAAGTGGCATGAATTTTCAAGGCAGAGTACTAGACTGCAGGGAAATGCAGAAAAATAATTCCAAAAATCTATATAGGTCTCCCTTTAGTCCGTTGTTGAATACTAAACCACACATGCATAGAGTGAAACCCCACAAGACCATGTAAAGAAAAACAATGGAATTATAGGATGAACAATTCCCAGAGTTCGCATCGAATGGGGACACATTCAAGGTCTGACCAGCCGACTCGAGAGTACTCATGGATCACCTAGGGTATCCAAGATATTACAGAAGGATCATACATTGATGGTGGGACTAAATTAACCCTAGAATAAGGCTACTTCAGAACTAACAGAGCTTTAAAACAAGCTTCAAAAAGATCAGGCTAATCCACAAGTAACTTAATTGCCTGCCAGAAAAAAATCTACTACTCTTCGGAGAAAGAAAACAAAATCCAGCATTCAGTAACATAATAACAATGTCAAGAATCAAGTAAAAATTACTACATATTAAAAGAAGCAGCAGAATGTAAACCATGACCCCCCCCCAAAAAAAGTCAATTAAAGCAGACCCATAAATGATGGAATTAGCAAATAAGGACTTTATTTTTTTAGTATTTTTTATTTTTCAGTTATAGTTGACATACAATGTTATGTTAGTTTCTCAGGTGAACAACATAGTAATTAGACATTTATATAACTTACAAAGTGATCACCAGATAAGTCTCTTACCCATCTGACAGCATACATAGTTACTGTAATATTACTGACTATATTCCCTATGCTATACTTTATATCCCCATGACAGTTTTTATAACTGGCAATTTGTACATCTTAATCTCTTCCCCCTTTTCACCCTAACCCCTTCTCCCATCTGGCAGCCATCAAAATGTTCTCTGTATCTATGAGTTTGTTTCTGTTTTGTTTATTCATTTATTTTGTTTTTTTTTAGATTCCACATATAAGTGAAATCATATGGTATGTGTCTTTCTCTGTCTGACTTATTTCACTTAGCATAATACCTTCTAGGTCCATCCATATTGTCACAAATGGCAAGATTTCATTCTTTTTTATGGCTGAATAATATTCCATTATATAAATGTACTACATCTTCTTTAGCCATGCATTTATGGGCACTTAGGTTGCTTCCATATCTTAGCTATTATAAATTGTGCTGCCATGAACATAGAGGTGCATAGATCTTTATGAGTTATTGTTTTAGTTTTCTTTGGATAAATACCCAGAAGTGCAATTGCTAGGTCAAAAGGTATATCCATTTTTAATTTTTTGAGAAACTTCCAGACTATTTTCCATAGTGGCTGAACCAATTTGCAATCTCACCAACAATATATGCGGGATCCCTTTTCTCCTCATGGGTGCCAACACTTGTTCTTTGATTTATTGATGATAGCCATTTTGGCA